GTCACCTTAAACATATCACTACGAGCTAACGTAAAAGTCATACATCGTGGTTACCATATATAACGTAGATTACCCTGTCTTTGTACCCGGGTTCTATGGTTTCTTTGATGACTGTACGAAACAGGCGATGCTATTACAAAGATATATTAGTCAGAGTAAGTAAAACAAACAGAGTGCAACCACCACCTTATCGGCCAATCCACGGAATGGAATTGACTGATGAACGTTGGTTGTCCTTGAACTATGACCTGTTTGACGTTCAGTGACTTGACTGCCGGATGATTTGGTTAAAACCTCGTAACGCTTCACTGGCCCTACAGGAGTAGCAATAGGTGCTCCCTCTGTTGAACAATGAATTGGTTTAATTATATGTTTCGTACATAAATTATCCAATGTTTCGTATACTGGGTCTCGAAGGTCATAAGGAGTTATCCATCTTTCAAGAAAGCCTGGATCACCTTGGCATTACATTTTCGACGTTTAGGTTTTGTCTTAGTAGACACGAGACACAAAAGAGTCGGTTTTGCATCAGCTCTTCAAAAATCTTAGATAACGACATTGTCATCAAGACACCCTTTTGCGCTATTTTTATCACAGTTTTATGCACAATCAAAAGTCTAAGGTATTTATGAGTAAATTTGAAAGTTTATTTTCTGATTTCAAAACCAAATATAAAAGGATTTTTTCATTTTGGGGTACAAGGAATGGAGAATTCCTTTAAAATTCACTATTCAGGTGCTGCTACAATAGGTTTGACATAATTGCATCGCAGATTAGCAATTACTTCCATTTAGCTTTACCCTCAGAGTGGACAAATATTTTAAAACCCTGTCTCGAATCTTTGAGGAACAGTCATTTCTACTTAATATCTGTTACCAATGCTTGAAGATAACTAATGAACCGGGAGATGACTTAGTAAAACATACAGGAATTTTGGACCGAAAATGTGAGAGGTTCAAGTTGTCTTCCATGACTGAAGATCATTTTAAATGCCTAGTATTTGTCTGTAGCCTGCGTTCACACGAGGATGCTGACATCTGGACAAGAATCCTAAGCAAGCCCGAACATTGTCTCAACATAACCCTGCAGGAAGTAACTAGAGAATACCAAAGATTAGTGAATTTGAAGCATAATACATCTATGGTAGGGAACAGTTACCGGTTCCTTCACGTCCATGCAGTCGAGAGAAAAGTCTAAAAAGGTTCTAGCACGCAGAATTATCATGATGACGGCAACCAACCATCACCCCCCATGCTGGTTATGTGGCGGTTGGCATTTCAAAATGTTTTGTCGGTTAAAAAAATCATCGTTGTACCACGTGTTCTAGAAAAGGACACAAAGAAAGTCATTGCAAGACCCATGAACGCCGTCAACCGAAAGTGTATTCTTCAATATTCAAGCCATGAACAGCTAAAGTAACGGTATCCCTTAACAAATTCGGCTACCATAACCGAAAAAAGTATATTTCTCTCAAGATTAATGGGTATGATGCCCGCTTACAGTTAGACACAGCCTACGATATAACACTTATAAGCAGATGAACGTGGGAGAAAAAGTGGTAGACCACGAATATATTCAACTCACTAATCAACACATGGCGCATTCATTGGGATGATGAAAATTGTCAGTGATATTCACTGTTAAGTTACAGTCAAAGACTTTATGGAGGAAAGAGTAATATTTTTGACAGAAAATCCGTCACTCGACTTATTGGGGCTTCATTGGATAGAAAGGTTGAAGTTAACAGACTGTCCCATAAACTTGATCTGCGGCAACGTCAGCACGTCGAAAGTTGAGGAGAAAAACTCGGTGGAAGCATTACCAAAACGACATAAAATGGTATTTAGTGAGAGTCTTGGAGAATGCACTAAATATAAAGTTGCTCTTATCCTTCGACAGGGGTCAAAGCTAGCGTTTCGACCTAAAAGACCTGTACCATATGCTGACCCACCAGTTGTTGAACAAGAGGTAGAACTGTAGTGAACACGAACACCAGTGGGGAACAATCGAATGTATTTAACACGAAATTACAGGACTTGTTAATAAAATTTAGCAATCATAAAGCAACTGCTTAATTTGCATAATCTCCACCAATTGTCTCAAAATGACCCAGACTTCATTGTTCTCGTATTTTCATGCAAATTGCATCCTGTTCCATTCTATACTGTTCGATCCTCTTATCCCTCTGCTGCCAGACCTTCTGTTCATGACTAACATCATATACTACTTATGTCAATATAAGTAGCACACACCACAGAACGACTTCATAAATTGGGTATCATTGAATCGGTAAAAAATGGGCTGCACCGGTAGTGATAGTAAAGAAGACTAATTATAGCGTCCGTTTATTTCCTGACTACTCAACCGGACTAACTGAAGCCCTAGAAACTCATCAGTGTCCCTTACCTGAAGATCAGAATAGCCGGGGTTTTAACGTTGGTGATAAAGTGTTCGTCAAGTTATACATTAGGAAGAATCGTTGGGAGCTGGGGACCATTGAAAGGGGAATAGGAAATGTAGATTAAACACATCAATCAAATACACAGAGAAAAATGTCTTTAAACACTGTAGATAGCCGAGTGAGGCTTCCGCTAGAGATAATTACAGATACACCAATGACAGGAACCCCAAAAGACACTCATAGACGCCAGATATAAAGAAAGTCTGATCACCGCAGAAAACCAGTTACAAAGCTGCAAGTAGACCCAAAGAAAAGGTCTTATTTTTTAAAGGGGGAGGTGTTGGGGCGATCCAGCAAACTCCTCAAAAAAGCCAAAAAGGCTCCGAAAACATCAAGATGCATCTTATCCAATCAGCGTTCACTGGACGTTTTGACAGAAATATCTAGAAATTGAAAAGTCACATGTCGAGTTTCTGATTGGATGATTACTTATACTGCTACTATGTTTAGTAGCATCTCAGAGTTTTCGGGAAATCCAAGGACATCTAAATACTATAAATACCCCAGATTCTCTGTATATGAACGAACCGTTAGAGTAATGTGTTTCCTACATTTCTGTACCTTTTATATCGTGTTCAGATCGCTGTGTCGATCTAGTCTGGGGGGAAGGTTACTAGAAGAGCTTAGGAACCAAATCTAGCGTTCAATTAGTAAGACTTATCGATACCATCGGTACGAATTGTCGATTCATAGGTTGGATGACTGCCATGACATAGAACATTCGTTTGTCTACTATAAGCAATTTGGCTGCTTTGATACTGCGTTTTTAATACAGAAGAGTAACTTTTCTTTCTTCCTGCAGAACACTGTCAATGAAAATTCAACATCAACTTGATGTACTTCACCAATATGCATGAGCAATCGTTGAGAATTAGGAGATATTTACTGATGGATAATTTGTACTTTTCTTAAGCTTCAATAAACATCTTCACTTATAACGCATCGGTCCTTTAATCACAGGAATGCTTATCCATCGCGATAGACCGGTTCTTGTTATTATAGTTTAATTGCTTTGGAAATGCGTTCACTTTGCCAAGCTAACTGAAAAAATTGAATAAATGCAAATTCAGCTTAATGACGGTAAACGTTAACCGCTGTATGATTTCTCAACGGTACGATAGTTCGGAATTTCACCTAGTAGTGTAGTACAGCATGCTCAGGGTTACAGTATTCGGTAATAGGTCTTTACGACTAATCATGTGTGTGCCACCATGGTAAGCGTTACACATCAATGCGAACCAACACCTCTGTTTTACAGCCACATATGACTGCATAGTACACTCCCTGCCGTTACGCTATAAGAATAAGTTAATGGCCATCTAAATGAATTTATGTAATACTGAATAGATTTTAACATTAGAACTTCTTGTTATCAAAAAGCATAGTTATGGTCTTTGTTAATAATGGATTCTGACGTTGTAGTTTCATCATTGGCACCGATTGAACTCATCACTTGTGCGCATATGTCTTCCGATGCTTCGAGGCCTGAACGGATAAGTTTATCGGCCAGAGGTTCACTAAGAGGATTGTGTAGTAGTTATTAGTGAACTTCCCTAGTAGATCTTTACTCCCTGTAGAGATTGGCACGTCGTCCGACGCACAGAGAACCAAGTTCATTATGTAGTTCCTTGTCCACACACCTCTACGAGTTAGATCTTTGGGACTTGCATACAAAATGTGACTACACGGCAGCATGTAGCCATTGAAGCGCCCACAAGCGCAAAATTCTTGTGAAGTATCTACAACATACTGCGGATTTACCCCTTTTTTGCCGCTTTGTCGATAAATTGCCTAATTTCCGCCTAAATATCCGCCAAATTACCCACTTTTTGCCCAATTATCCTCCGAATTGTCGAATTTTCGCTTAAATATCCACTGAATTGTCTACTTTTCGCTTAAATGTCAGCCGAATTGTCATTTTTTGCCTAAATTTCCGCGGAATTGCCTGCTTATACGCCTAATTGTCTACTTTTCGCTTAAATAAACACGGAACTCCCTATTTTCGATCGATTGTCATAACCCCAAAGGTCTCCTATGTTCGCCTTTATCTTCAACAACAGACGAAAATAAAACTGCAATGCACTGGGAAACCGGTACATTTTAAGAAACTTTTTTTATAAGGAAAAGCAAATTATTGCACAACGTTAGAGTAGAAGCTACAGCATCGACTGTCTTGCATATACATTGCAATCGCTAATTCATTGTTATTTGAAATCATCTGCAAAAGAAGGAACAGGTGATGCATTATCTATAAGGATTGTGTATTTAATAAAAGTTCACTAACACTCAAACACGCATTCCCAACACTTATATAGTTTCCTATGTAAGTAATAAAGTAAGCTATTTTACCAAAAATTGTTTATTAAAAAGGAGGTAGAACATAAAGAAAATTACACGGACTATTCCCTTCAGCCACGTTAGTTCAGCTATTGAGAATTGAGGTAGTCGTACCGTGAATTCTGAAGTAAAAAAAGAAAAATTCACAACCATATCTGAATGACATGCTTTGGCACAGCCAAATACTTGAAGCTTAACTCACGGCTATGTTCGTTAAGACAGTTGACTGGAACTATAGAACAGTAGGGAAGTTATCACGTTGAATTAGTTCATACCTGATCTTGTTTCCTCCTATTACGCCTTATCAGTTCGTCTCTGACGTCGTGAAAATAGCCTTGTGTCGCGATATCCTACAGTATCGCAAGGTCTTTTTCTTTGACAGATGATGACAAAAAGCGATTTGTTAATGCACCTGAAGTTTAAATAATAGATATAGGTTACTTCGTATGCAGCCATAAAACCGGCATTTCTGAAGTGCTCGTTTTGAAGAGGTGCCAAGTAGCGTGAATTTACTGGCAACCTCAGGTGTCATGAGGTACGACAAAACATGTCGCATTGAGGTTTTAGGATTATTATCCATTAACCTCGTTACCATGGCCATCTGTAATACGAACAAATTATTAAATCATTGTTGTTGACTTACAAATCTATCCCTGATTTCGTTCTGCTGCAAATCAGTGTCTAGCATCTGCAGTTCCCCTTCAGATGACAAAGGGAACTGCTGACTTGATAGTCCGCAATCGAAATGATGCGGTTTTTCGCGTTCATTAGACTTAGATGGTAATTGCTTTACATTAATATTCAAGTCACTAATGGCCGAGGATATGTTGTGCATCGTTTTAGTCAAGTCAGTGATAGCTGACGACATTTTCTGCACTACTGTATGATCATAAACGTCGAAAAAATAAGGCACCGCTTGATAAAAATCAAAACTATTACCATAAACACAAGTACCGAAATATGGACACAGGGATTTGGATGAGACGCATATACACTGACTTCGTTTTTTGTTTAGCTTGATTATTCCCACATCCCAAGCAACCAATAAAGGGGAAATAAAGGCGAATAAAAAGGAAATAAAGCAGACATAAGCGTAAATAAAGGGGAAATATCACTTTTCCGCCTTTACGTCGGTTATTTTGGGGAAATATCGATCTTTCCCACCTACGGCGTGTATTTGGGGGAAATTTGTCGACAATTCTACCTAACGTACAGTGTTTGAATATACTGCATTCCGAACTTATATTTTCGTAAACGTCAACAAGTTAAGGCACCCCTTAATAAAAAAACAAAGCTATTGTCATAAAAACAAGGTACGAAATACTGCACCAGGCATTCGGTTGAGACTCATATACACTGACTTCGTTTTTTTGTTTAGCTAAAGTGTTCCGACATGCTAAAGATCCATCACAAAAAACGGGGACAATTCATAAGAAATAGAAGTCATTTACTAATGGATCATTTGTGCTAGATTTGGACCTTAATGAACGTTTTCATTTATAACGCATCAGTCTTTTAATTACATCAATTCTTATCTATTGTGACAGGTCGAAATTCGAACTACTAGTATGGTACACCATGTTTAGGGTTGCAGTATTCTGTAGACGATATACATGACTAATCGCGTGTGCGCCAAACTGATGATTATTACGAAAGAACGCGAAACAACATCCCTGTCTCACAGCCACATAAAACTACACAGTACACTCTCCCTGCTGTTACTCTATAAGTTAATGGCCATATAAATGAATTTATGTAAAACTAAAAAGATTACAATATTAGAACTCCTTGTTATCAAGAAGCATAGCTATGGTCTGTGTTAACAATGGATTCTGACGTTGTAGTTTCATCATTGGCACCGATTGAATTCATCACTTGTGCGCATATGTCTTCCGATGCTTCGAGGCACGAACGGATGAGTTTACTTGCCAAAGGTTCACTGAGAGCATGGATTGAGTGGTAGTTGTTAGTGAACTTCTCTAGCAGATCATCACTCCCTGTAGAAATTGACATGTTGTCCAGCGCACGAAGAACCTGGTCCATTATGTATTTCCTATCCACCGGTTGCTATGTCGAAATAAGTCTACAAACCTTATAGAGACAAAGAAACACACACATATCTCCACGAATGAGATCTTTAGAAAGGGCATACAGAATATGACCACAGGGAGGCATTTAGTCATCGAAACGCTCGCAAGCACATCGTGCACGCGAAGCATCAACAACATACATCATACCCTTGTCGTAGCGCAGGATGTATTCTCCTTCTATAAATTCGTGTCTCATTGTCGTAACACGTTTATTAATTACAGCTACAATTTTAGCTGCAAAAGATGCGAACTCATTTAAAAGAGTTCGAAATGACATTGGAATCTGGAATTAATGATACATTTAACTGTATTTCTTACCTGAAGAATTGGAAAACGTTGAAGATCCTTTACAGCGTCATATGGAAGCAAACGTGGGTCAATGTCTGTTTTGCTCCAAATTTTCCAGGACGTCAATAACAGAGAATCACCTCTTCTGAGACATTCTTTTAGGTGTTTAAGAGCACTTTAGACACGGTTGTTTGTGTAGTTGCTCAGACTTAATACCTGTCGCCGATAACAGCGAGCCCATATTGACTTCCGGGCAATCCAATAATCTTTTATATAATAATACGCCCGTGGGAAATGCGTCCTTAGATGTTCGTACTTCCGAGTAAATCTGAATATAATACGTCGTGAAAAGAGAAGCTCACATATCAGATTGTTTAGTCTTCACAAGCTGTTCCAAGCATTTGCGTACACCAGGATTTCGGAACTACAGAAAATAATTTGTACAGCTAACACATACCTTCCTGAAAAATGCTCGTAAGACATGGAATGAACAAAGTATTATGTTAGAATGACTGCGTAGACTGCACAGCTGAAATGTCGGTCTCTGCCAAGTCCATAATGAAAGTGCGTGTATCATAAGTACCGCACATTATCTCTTTAAAGCATTTCAATAGTTTTCCGACATCTTCGCGTCGTTCTTGACTGCAAAGAGCATACATAACAGTGTGCCCTTGCCCAAGACTATCAGTCACCACTAGCTGGAACAGTGGAAAACTTCCAGATAAATTTATTACTAATCGTTACTTACCCAACTTTGTTGGTCTGATAAGTCGAATCAATACATATTACCTCTGGGAACGCGTGGTAAACAGCTATTTGCTCCCTGCGGCTGAAGCAAACTATAGATATGTTCCCATTTTCATTTAATACCCTTACTTCAGTGTTCGCTTGAACGCACTGTAAGATGTCATTGATATTTTTAGTGTCTAAACTCAATTAATTACAACGTGAGTTCAACAACCTTGGTATAACTGTGAACGCATTTTGGCGATATCGTCCTTGGTAAGCTGTTTATTGAACTTCCAAGAAACCATGTGCCCTAAGCTACGAGTTGATGTATTACTCAGTAGAAACGTTCTTAAATACAAGCCTTACTTGACGTCAACTTTCATCTCGATGGATCGACAGAAATATATTTTTCTGTGCAAGGATGGTTTTGCACGGTTTTAATAGAGGTGACTTTCAGCACACCATTTACTGCCCGGACCCAAAATCCAGATTGAAAATGGCAATATTTCAACCCAAAGGGTAAATTCATTTGAAGTAAGGCATACGTAGATGACCGACGTCGTCTCCTCTGTCTAGGTTGTGTTTGCGAGTTAGAAGTTGTACGCTCTTCAGAAGAATGATGATTACTATCATCATCTACATCCTGAACGCAAGCATCTGGTTCCGATGAACTGCGTTTACGTCCATATTTACAGAGGCTGCAGTCAAACGCAACTCAATTTCGTAAATGTGCCCTTCAGCTTAGCAACCAATCGGAATGAGGAGGGAAGTATTATATCCGCCATCTTTGTAAGCAATGGCGGTCAGCTTTCTTCGTTCTGTGATTCTTTCAGCTATATCTTTTGTGTAGCTATGTAATCGAATCAGCGATGTTTTCCGGGGTTTTGCTGCCTCTACTCAAGCTTACATGGTTGCGTTGTGGATAAATTCACCCTGTACAGACACATATGTGTCTGTTACTAACCGAATTCGTCAATGACTTTACATTTCAGAACTGCCCAATTTTCATCTGGTTGGTCGCACCTTTGTAGGTGGACATCGATAAGCCCCTTTGGATAAAGGCACAGCTCTTTGCTAACAATCCACTTCTTGGCTGCTATCATGAGTTGTTTCTTGATAGGGACGTCAACAATGACGTATTGCTTGTTAGCGGGCTAAATATAACGTAAGACGTAATTAAATGGTTAATCATTATGAATTAAGCATTGATGAAACAAAACACATTTACATTATAGTATGCAACAATGGGATTAGAACTAGATAATTCATACAATTTATGGCTGTACATTTACAATCAATGTCGTTAACCGATACCCATGTGTATTCATGGCTAACTACGGAGCACATAAAGATTCCTATATCACTAGATGGGAAAGGATCTTCGAAGTAATTGCGTGGGTCAGTGAAAGACCTAAATTTCAGTAGCCCATCCTCCTTTATATCAGTGACTAAACCAGGCTGTCTGTTTACTACTACTACATTATCAGGCCTAAATGAAGTTATTTTACTATTCTTAAACATAATTATTTGTTTATTGGAGACATCATTAGCGCCTATTGGGGTAGTATTTGTTAAACCAGGAAAAGTTATAATCATAATAATAGAAAGGGTTTCCGTAATAGAATGTCCTTGATGGTGAATAGATTGAGACTGACGACGGAAGGTGTCGTCTGTTCTTAAAGTATAAACCCCATTTGGAAAGGTCGTCTTACCCTCCAGCCGTCTCCCAAGAACAGTACACCTATCGCAACCTGTCTTACCGTTATGACTTACCGTGTACCTAACAGAAGAACGAGCAGGTGCGTCACTTATAACAGCCGCCAACCTAATAGATATGCATTTATTAAACTTGACACTGAAAAGACCAACGTCAGTCATTTCTTTTATTTCAGAAATTGTGTCCGCAGAAAATTCGTTGAATTCTGCCGGTTTACTATTCCCACCGTAGATCCCCATCATGAACACGTCACTAAACCTAGAGGCAATGATCCTTCCTAGTATAGACCATAACTGCTAATTGGAGCTTCTAGACATAGAAAGTCCATCTATATTGATATATAAATTTAAAGAGTCAAAATCAATAGTACAGAACCAAAGCTCAACGTATCTTAGCAGATTGGTTTTCAGTCCTAGATGGTAGTAAACCCCACTGCCGATTAACTTTGGTTGAACACTTGGACACGTCTTTAGAACACCTCTGATGCTTTTCGGTACGTCCGGGATAAGAAATCGTAGACCATAGAGAACCTTCCGTCGTCAGACTCAATCTATTCACCATCAAGGACATTCTATTACGGAAACGCTTTCTATTATTATGATTATAACTTTTCCTTTAGATCCTATGCACATGGTGTACCTTGGCGTTGCCAAGAAACTAGCTAATTTATGGATAGATTTAGCCATAAATTGTAAAAATTATCTTGTTCTTATCCCATTGCTGCATACTTGGCTGTAAATGCATTTTGTTTCACTAGTGTTGAATAAATAACGACAAATAATTTACTTACGTCTTATGTTATTTTCAGCCCGCTGACAAGAAGTACGTCATTGTTGACGTCCTCAGAATAAAACAACTGATGAT